CAGCTACTGCATTGGGTGTTAGTGTACTCCCCTTAGTTCTACCAAAAGTGTGTGTGTGTAGGTCTCACCATGATCCCTGTTTTACAGACGAACTGTGTGATTAAGTGACCAAATGAGGGATACAAACAAACAAACAAACAAACAAACAAACAAACAAAGCACAATGGGGTAGCTGGCTGTCGACTCTGTCCCGCCGGACTCCCAGCTCCACTGCAGACTTGGTCCCCAGGCTTTCTGCTCCAGGCAACCCTGAACCTTCCTTTGCCCGAGCCCTTCCCGGATGTTGCTGACACCAAACAGATCGAGTGGTGTTTTGCAGGGACGACACGCCTCACGTGGCCAACGAGAAGCTGGGAGAGGAGGCTGTGCTGGGAATTGTGGCACGCCTGACCAAGCTCATCAGAGAAGTCTTTCCAGGTAAGACTGTGGTTGGGACACCTACCAGGTTCCCTGACCCCAGGTGGGGCCTGGCGCAGTAGGAGGCCACCAGCAGCAAGGTCAAGACTGAGGATCTTCACAACCCTCATTCCTTACCCTGCAGGGAACAGGTGATCTCACAGGGTCTAGACAGACACAGTTCTATGAATGGTGGTACCTGACAGTTCACTGCCGTTTCCCCACCTGCTTCACACCGGACTCCCAGGCACTTCTCAAACTGTCCACAATTACATCTAGGCGGCATCCTGGTAAAGTCTCACTTAGACGTGCACACAGTCCTTGGTCCCCCAGGTGGCATCCATACTCTCATTGCACTGGACCCCCAGTGGCTGTGGCCCCCAGGTGGCACTTGCACTGGCCCCCCCAGGTGGCATCCACAACTTCATTGTCAGCCAACATGCTCTTTCGTGATGCTTCTAAGACCTGTGAGACAGCAACCCCAGGGGACTCAATCGGGAGAACAGGGTTTGTGTTCTCCACCTAATGGCACTTGAAAATGGTTTTAAACAGACTTTGCTAAACACTAGGTCCTGGGTGGGGTGGAGGGTGGGGGTGAATCAGGCTCTCCGGCCACCAGTGGGGGACCTCTGAATGCAGCCCATTTCCAACCCCCTGCGGATTGTGATGCAGCTGTCCCTTGTGAAGGTCCTAGTCCTGGGGGTCAAGGGTATTGAGTGACAGGTACACTGTCCAGTGCTCGAGAAAGGTGCTCCGATTATGGCAACCTCACTGAAGAATGTGAGCCTGGAGGGTGATGTACTGTTCAAGGTCACAGGCGAGGGTGGGGAGGCAGATGTCTCCCACGCCCACGCCCACTGCACTTCTATGAGGGCGCTTCAGAAGCTCCTGGGTGGGGGGATTCCATTCTCCTTCGTTTGTTTTTTAAATAAATCATTTTATTTGGGGCTCTGACAGCTCCATTCTCTTTTAATCCCATTTTCCCCCAAGAATGTTTTGAAGCCCCCTCACATTCTGGAAGCAACCTCCTTTCCTGCCCCTCCTTCCCTCAGTGTAAGTGGATCTCCACCCCCCAGGTCACCATGGACCTCAACGTGCATGCCTGCTCTTTAACCCTCTAAAGAGGCCTTTGGCCGCAGGTTCG